AATACATAACACAAAACTAACACATAACCATACAAACAGTAATGAATTACAGTAGTGTCCTTGATTTCTTTTAGGAAAGCCATAAAACTTTTATTTTCCAACTAGCTTTTTATTTAGTCAAATTAGGATAGCTAGTATCCTGAGCTGGCAATGAGGGAGCAGACAGTATTGTTTTATATGGTTTAATCTGCTGCTGGTTTGTTTTTATTGATTAAAATAATGTATTCATTTGAATTGCACCGGTAATTATTAATGTTTTCATTGTTTTACTGTATGCTGCCTTGGGAGGACTTGAAAAGCAGTATAGAAATTGCTTTCATTAAATAAAAGACACTGCTAATTCTGTATTCAAAATAATGACCTGGGAAACACCCAAAAACAACAGAAAAACTAATGTTGGCATTGACTGTACCTGTGCTTGATGGAATGCTGATTCAGATATCTTGTATTTGTTTAAAAAGAGTTTAACATAATAAAAATTAAAGATGCTGTTCATCATCCCAGCACCTAAAGTCGTCATTGAGTATGCCAGGGCATTTGGATGAATTCTTGAAAAAAACTTCATTTTTCCACAGTGGTATTTTTCTTCCCCTAGAAGGTAAATAATATGATAAAACAGTTACAGGCTGTTACAGTTCCAATGGAGTTTTTGCCTTCAGATACTGCATAGATTTTTATAGTTTCATTCCAATGAAAAGTTGGATATTTTTGTGGCATTTGCATATCTGTGCAATGTTTGTAGGACTGTGAGGAGGAAAACAGCAAACAACAAAATCACAATGCTGGAAGTAACACTACAGTATATGGCACATGACTCGACATTTTATTATAGGAAACAGAAAGGCAAATTGCTTATTATCTAAAGCATTTACATAGAATAACATAATTTTAGAGTTGGAAATCAGCTTGCAGATTGTATACCTCAAGCCCACTGCTCATCTTAAATGACTTGAAAAGGGAATTAGACAAATCCATAGCAGATAAGCCTATGGGTAACTACAGGCTATGTGCTACCTCCATTGTCTCTATGTAAATACCAGTGCTGGGAATCCCAAGGGGGAAGGGAACTGCTGTATTCAAGTCCTCCTTGGAAGCTTCCCAGAGACATTTGGCTGGCCACTGTGAGAACAAGATGCTGGACGAAATGGGCCTTTGGTCTGATCCAGAAGGCTCTTTTTTTCAGTTTAACTATAGTGTCACAGACAAATGGCTCTGCTTCAGGGATAGAGGACCCAAGGACCTCCAGATGTTAGAGAACAACTCATATTATCCTTGACCGTGGTCCTGCCAGCTAAAGCAATTGGGAGTAGTCAAACAACTTGTGGAGAGTTTATCCCTACTTGAATATGTCCAATGAAGGACAGGCCACCACATCTTAAGGGAGTAAGTTCCGCTGCTGAATAGTTGCGCCTAATAAACTGAAACACTTTTGTGTGATTTGCTGCTGTATGGAAGAGAGTTTTCAATTTTTATTTGCAGATTTAACTGTGAGCATTACCATATCTCCAATTCAGCTTTAAGAGGGAAGTCACTGTTTGATATGGATTCCTATTTTGAGACTATTAACCACAATTTTGTAAAAAATAAGAAATGCCCTTTCGGAATAATTTTGTCATGAGATGGATGTGTATATCCCTGCACACAAGGAGTGAGCAGAAGGAAGGTACAAGGCAAAATTAAAGTGATGGAATATATATGTAGTATTTTTTAAATCTCAAGCTTTACATTTATTTGTTTTTTTGCAGTTGCCAGAATTTGAATATTTTGAAAGTTACAAAGATGAACACTCCAAATCTAGTAAAAAAAAACCTATTTTTATTTTATCAATATTATAAATGCAAAATGCCTTCCATGGATCAAGATGAATATTGTCAGAGGACATAAATCTATGTACGATTAGTGGCTTCGCATGATCCACAAGAGGGCAACATTTTCTCATATTTATCCTTGTCTCACACTGTGATAAATATTTTGCCCTCACAGCTTCCACTTTACAATTGACAAGAACAGGATCAAACCCTTCTATCCCATATCTGTGTTGTTAAATGCTTTCTGGTGGTAGTCTCTTCAGTAATGTCTCCCAGTAAAAAAATAATCATGGAAGGTGAAACTTAAAGGGGAACACCTCTCCCTCTTTCTCACACCATCTATCTGGGGCAGTGGGTGGGGGAGAAGATGGAGTAAGAACGTATCTTTTTTTTTAGGATACTGTAACAAAAACTGGGATACTTAATCCACCTGAATCATAAAACAAACTGTTAGAAACGCTTGAATAGAATGGTGAAACAACAATCTAAAAACAGTTAATCGGATGGCAAAGGTGACCTTTATCAATATTTAGCTCCAACAGATGAAGTAGACATATAATGACATTGATTAAAGTAAATCGATTCCTCCATTTAAACAGATGTCTGAGGTAAGCATGAATGGCATTATAATCAACACAAGGAACAGTGAGCACTAGTCAGGTTTTCTCTGTAACCTCCATTATACTCAAACTCTGTCTGTTGATGATGCCACAGTATGTATTGTATAAAACAAGGGCTTGTATTAAAAGTATGAATAGCAGAAGCCTCCAATGTCACTGGAAAGATGAAGGAACTCTTACTTAAAGCTATTTACATACGGCAGAAAAGTCCTGAATAGTCCAAATAATTTCATCAGGAAAAAGCAATTTAACTATAAAAACTGAAGAATGCAATTATTTGAAGGTGACCTCTAATCCAGTAAAAGCTTATGATTCAAACACATTCCCCAGCTTTTGAAATGCCAATTTTTTGTTGCTGTTTCTGCTGTAAGGAGGCAAGGCTGCCCCCTCTCAGAATAAAAGGGTTGCCGTTAACCTTTAAATACAGGGGTGGCGGGAGCTGCGGCCCTTCAGAAACTGTTGGGACTCCAGCTCCCCTATCAGCCCCAACCAGCACAGCCAATGGTCAGGAATTATGGGAACTGTAATCAAACAACACCTGAAGGTACAAAGGTTGCCCATTAATAGCTGCATACAAGAGGAAAGCTTGACAGGTGCAGCTTGTCCTGCCGTGATTCCCTGTTCTACTCAATTATCAAAGATACAGGAGGCCCCTCTCTCCTTCTCCTTTAATATGGCTACCCTGATTCACAAGCTGTCTCTAACAAAAGGGACAGTTGTTTTATGAGTCTCGCAGTACCTTAAAACTTAACATTTATTGTAGCAGCAGTGAACATAAGAACTGCTGTGTCAGGCCAATGGCCCATCTAGTCCATAATCCTGTTTCTCACAGTGGCCCACCAGACGCCTGTGGGAAGACCCCCAAACACCTTATCAGCAAACCTAGTTTGCTTCACTGCTCACTCCTAACTCTATAGTTTTCCATTTTCTCCATTTGGAGAACTGTTCACTATTGCCAACTCTTTACTTTCTGTAACTTAAAATCTATTTGTGATCTACAAGTGGGACTTGACAGTCCATTTCAAATGGCAGTTACAGTAATTGCATCGTTACACACCGCCCCAATCTCCAAGCTGTGTGAGATCCCAAAGGTTCCAGGGTCTGGAAATGAGGAAAAGCAGGGACTGTGGTCTCTTTATGATATATGGTTTATTTATACATATATACAACCTGGGCCTGTAATGGAGGGCTCCCAGCATTACACTCCCAAGAGGTTATGGCTTCTCCCATAGCCACAACACCCTAGGATTCAAAAAGACACCAGCCAAGGCTCGCCCTTTCTCCATCTTGCCACACTTTACAGACTGCAACTATTCTGTCTCAGCTAACTATCTCGGAGTTCTGGGTGTGGCTCTGCCTGTTTGCCGGCTGGCCCAGAGTCTTGTGTCTCTTACATTTCTAATGGCCTTTGCCTTTAACTAATTTCCCAGGTGGTTTCCTGACCTGGAAGCTGGTTTGGCCTGTATTTTAATATTGCTAACTCCAGTGACTGTCAGCCTTTTTAACACTCCAAGCATTGACTAAGTTCCAACACCTATCAAACTCAGGAATTTAGGAGAACCAGGCACCCACAATTCAAAACAGCATTATCCGGCTACTTCAACGAAAGCAATCTATTTTGTATTTCTATCATAAGGCTGTTTGTTTCTGAAAATACAACACTCTTGTTTTTCTTCCATTTCTGAAGCTCCAGTGCTGAGTTGCTTTAAAACCTCTATGAACATTTAACAGAGCTCCTTGTTTTTAAGCTGCTGTTTTGTTAACAGGCTTTGATAATTTTGTTGTGACGACTAGGCCCCAAATGTATTTATTTAAGTCTTAATTTAAGAGGGAGTAAAGCCCTCCTGGGACTTTCCGACTAAACAGGTATAGGAGGACACCATATATCATCCTCAAGATTTTATAATGCAATTTTAGTTAAGTCCTCTCCCAAAATATAATATGTGACGAGGTTGTTGGGGTTTTGAGGGGGTGGGGTTGCAAGGTTTATTTCCTCCTCAGCGGTATTTGATAAGAGAGCCCTACTCCATTTCGTCCATTTCCCCCACAGCTCTGAAAACCACGCGAAATCCTTACCCGACGGTAAGCCCCACCGGGGTGCATGCGGTTTACTCGCAGGTAAGGGTGCACAGCATCGCCCCCCCCTCAAGCCCACCGCGCGCGGACCCCGCCTGCCCGTCCTCCCTAGCAACCCGCTTCGCGCGAGCCTCGTAGCAACCACCCCAACCCGACCCGACCCGCCCCCCCCCTCCGACCCGCGTATACTAACCAAGCCTTCGCGCTTGGGCCGCTCAGAAATACTCGGAGGGCGGGTCTTCGCCTTCGAGCCTGGCCCCTCCCTTTCCACCCCATTGGCCAAACCGGGAGCGGCCCGCACGGGATAAGCCAGAGGAGCCGCGGACGCCGGCCCGCCATTGGCTCTTCTCAGGGTGGGCTCCGGCTGACTCCGTGTTTTGAATCGCTACCGCCCCAGCCTCTTGCCACGTTGCTCTGCTAACAGCCGCCCGTCTCCTTGTTCGGCGTCCTCTCCCCCCCCCCGCGCTTTCCCCTTCGGCGGTGATGCCGGGCTTGGTGGGGAGGGGTGTTCGGCGCAGTCCGGAAGCGCTCGGGAAAGTTCGGAAGCGGGTTTAAACGGCGGCGAGCGGAGCGCTCTGCTGAGGCGAAGCGCGGGCGGGCAGGGGATAAAGAGGCGCGGCGAGGAGCGGGCGTCGGTCCCGGGAGGCTCGCGGCGCTGCTTCTCGGGTTGGGAAGCGAGGGCGAGGGCGGCTCCGCGATGCTCACCGACAGTTTGGTGGAGGAGTTCGAGATCCGCGAGGATGAGCCGTGGTACGACCAGCAGGACCTGCAGCAAGGTGAGGGCGGCGGCGGAGGAGGAGGAGCGGGTCGGCCGAGGGTCCTGAGGGGCTGCGGTTGGGTCAGGAGGCTGGGAAAGAGGCGGCGAGGAGAAGCCGCCGGAGAGGGAAGAAGGTGGGACTGGGACAATGGAGGGGGGGGGAGACAATGGCTGAGGGGAGCCGAGGTGGAAACTGCGGGAAAGAGAGGAGAGAGACCATGAAACGGTCGAGGAGAGGAAAGTGAGGCGGTTGGGGTTTTTTCTTTAATTTTTCGAATAAGTGAAGAGCCTTGCAGCGCCTGACTGAGGACTAGCGGGTTTCAGAAGCGCGGAGATCCATCCTCACGTGTCGCAGGTAGATGCGCGCGGGGCACGCCCGTGTGGAGAAGACGCCGGGCGCCCAGGCGAAAGAAGAGCGAAGGCTGGCGTTAAAGGGCAGCGGGATGTAAAAAGCACAGCCTGTGTCTGCCCCTTTCTTTCTTTATACAGTACTGTATCCCGCTTTTCCTTCAAAGAGCCGAAGGTGATATACATTATTTTTAAAAAAATGATTGCATTCTACGTTTCTATTTTAGCGGTTAGCCGCTTTGATGGGATATGAATAAATATGAAATGGTGGTAATGTCCATAGTTTTCCTCCTCCCCATTTCATTCTCACAACCAGTGCTTTTTTAAAAAAAATGTTGAGGGGTACGCTCATTTTCCGACTCCTATTGAAATAATGTCCCTCAATGAGGCCAAACTTAGAAAAAAGTTGCCCCAGAAAAAAGCACTGCTCACAACAATCCTGTGAGGGAGGTTAGGTTGAGAGCGAGTGACTGGCTCAAGGTCTCCCAGGAAGCTTCATGGCTGAGGGGGGATAACAAATCCCTTTCTCCCTGGTTCTGGTCCAGCAGTCCAACTCAGCTTTTCTCAACCATGGGTCCCCAGATGTTCTTCACCCATCACCCCTGACCACTGGCCATGCTGGCTGGGAATGATGGGAACTGTTGTCCAGCAACCTCTACAGACCCAAGTTGGAGAAAGATTGGACTTTAACCACTACACCAGGGGTCTGCAACCTTTAAGACAAAAAGAGCCACTTGGACCCGTTTCCGAAGAAAACAACAACCTGGGAGCCGCAAAACCATTGCGACATTTAAAGCATGCACGCCGCTGCCCTCCGATCTGACAGCGGGCAGGAAGGTGGCGCCGGGACGGTGCGTGACTAACGCACGCACTGCCCCCATGCGACGTCACAGCCAGTACAGCGCCCGCCACAGTGGGGAGTGTCGGGGCACACAATGCGCCTCCTCCCCTCGCTAGTATCCATCCCGGAGCCGCGGCAAAGGTGTAAAAGAGCCACATGCGGCTCCGGAGCCGCGGGTTGCAGACCCCTGCACTACACCAAGCTGCCTCTCAATAGCAGAGAGCAATTAATGGATATTGGCAGCAGTAGGTCCCTGCTTGTCTTTCCTTTATTTCACACAGTCATAGTTTATCTCTTCTTGTTTTCTTTTCTTTTGGTATCAGATAAGTATTTCTATCATCCCTTTCATGCTCACCTGCTCATGGCTTTTTCTCCCGCCCAACTAGCTCATCTCTACGGTTTTTCCCTCATCATTCATCTCACGCTTTTCACCTGCACCTTTTGTGACTTAGGAAATAAGCCCCACTGAATTCATTAGGACTTTTGAGTACACATGGTTAGGATCACAGATTTAGTTCTTTGTCACCCCATCCCTCACCCATCAGCTTAATGGGTTTAGTTCCCCCGCCCGTCATATCTTTTATCATCATCAAAGCACATTTTATATTCAGCTTTAATTATTTGTCTCCACCATAAGTGAGTATCCCTAGTCATTTAGACCCCAAAATGTGATTTGTGGCATAATAAAAGCACACCTAAGGGGCTAGAGAAGGAGAGGGGGGAAGAAGTAATGAGAACTTATGGGGAGAAAGTAACAAAAACAGGGATGTAGGGGTAGAGGCTTGGGAGGTAGTATGCTATGAGGTATGAGTGGCTTGAGGGTGACCGAAGTCCAGTGGGAAGAACACTTAGGTAGAGAGAAGTTACTTGACGGTCTGGGGAAGAGTACAGTGGTGCCTCGCAAGACGAAATTAATTCGTTCCGTGAGTTTTGCCGTCTTGCGATTTTTTTCGTCTTGCGAAGCACGGTGTCGGGAAAGTTTTGGAAAAGCTTCAAAAATCACCAAAGTCTTTAAAAACCTCAAAAAAGGCTACCACACCGCGTTCAATGAGTTGCTCCTCGAAGTCAAGTCGCAACTGTATTAACGGTGTTAAGAAAAAGGAAACAAACTTGCAAGACGTTTCCGTCTTGCGAAGCAAGCCCATAGGGAAAATCGTCTTGCGAAGCAGCTCAAAAAACAAAAAAACCCCTTCGTCTAGCGAGTTTTTTGTCTCACGAGGCATTCGTCTTGCGAGGTACCACTGTAATGGGGATTTGGGGACACCAGTTACAATTCTATTTGTGAGGGGAGGAACTGGAATTGTGACAAGAGAATTTGTGGAAGACGCATTGAGGATGCATGATGAGGGGAGAGGACCATGGAAGGTCAGGAAGGCATGGTTCTCAAAATGCGTGCCCAGCATTGCAAACCACTTTAATGGATTTTGTATGCAATTGTATTTTACTTGTACAGTTGTTGGTTTTATTTTGTTTGGGTCTGTGGTCGCATAAAAAAGTATCTGTATCTTATGTGTGCTCAGGGGCATTTAAATCTGTTTAGATTCTGATAAAGATATAGGTACAGGCTAATTCCTTACAAGTTTTATTTGGAAATTGAATCCTTCAGACTTCAGTGGGACTTTCTCAAGAGTGAAGGTGCTTGAAAGGGTCATAAGTAAGCCCTTTGAACATGGTGAAATTTAACTGCCAAATAAGCATGTACAGTATGTAATTAGATTTCTGGAAAGCTCTATACAGACTGGTGAAATTAAACATGCAGTTTCCCCACCATTTAATGCACATTTGCAAGAAGCACTGGTTCTAGTCTGAATTCATGATCAAACTGGGGTATGAGTTATTCTAGGTTAACAAATATAAATTAAACTGGAGAAATTCAGTTGGTGGAAGACCTTCAAGATTTTACTCTAGCACTACTTACTTCAATGAGACTAAGTAAGCCATAGAAAGATTCAGACCCTGTTCTTGCAACCTAAATATTAAAAACTACAGGTGCCCATGTATTCGTATTTAGAATAAATAGCTTTTCAAGGAATAAGGCAGGTTGTGCTATAAGATGTGCCATAAAGCTGGCAACAACATAATTGTGCTGCTGAGTAGGGTATGTATAGAAGAAAAATGAGTTTGGTATGCAGTCTGGAGGAGGCTTGTGGGGTACAGGGGTAGAAAGAGTGCCTTTCTTATGGTAAAAGCAGCCAATATTTTACAGTACAGCTCTGCTTGGTTTTTTCAAGGACCAAGAATTAAGACTCTGACATGTATCTAGGAAGCTGAGGGTGTCACATATTCACCTTTGGATGCTGGAAGTGTAACTGTTGAAATTCTCCAATTTTTATTTTATTTTTTTTGTTCTGTGTTATATTGGTTTGTGCAGAAGCTGATGTGATATATGTATTCTTGCTCACGTAACAGCATTTCTTGTAGTTTCAGTAACTTCAACAGGCATTACTTCTTCATAAGCCAATAAACTGCAGTGTGTTTAAAAATAGAGCTCTCTCTTCTAGGACTTGTCTTACCCAGTTTAAAAACCTCAAAATAGCCAGGAAATGGGGACAGTCAAAGGCACGTCTGAGATGTGTTTATATAGTCAAAGCTCTTGCTCAGTGCATTGTTATACAACTGTTTGAATATGTAGCTCCTTTAATAAGTCAGCTTGATCTTTGTTATTCTTGCATTGACAGTCCAACTTTATTGCATTATTGCAGTCAACTAACCATTCTTCTGCCAACATTCAATTTTAAATTGGCATTTTCAAGTTGTGGAAAAGGGAAGGTGTGATTTAGAAAACACACCCACACACACCCAAAAGTGTTGAGTTTCTGAGACACTTAAATGATTTTCCATTGTTTGAAATTTCCAGTTCAAAGTATTTTTTTTAAAGTTAAAATATATGCTTTTGTCTCTCCAATGGAAGATTTCAATAAACATGTATAACTTTGCCTTAAGCTTTGTAATTTTTGTCTTGCACCATGTGGACAAATGATTTATAATGTCTCATTATCTAAGCAGTTGTCTTGAATAGCTTCAGTCTCCCCTCTTTTATACTGCTAATGCATTTCAATATTTGGAATGTGGCATTTATGATTCATTTTGCAGCCTCAGGCAGCATACTGTGCCTTGCTACTTCAAGACTGTTTAATCTGGTTGGAATGACAAATTGCAAAACTGGTAATTCTCCGGACACTAAAGATGTTGGTGGAGAAATATAAACTTGCAAAGAGACTTTAATTTGCAGAAGCATTCCTTGTTTAGTCTCACTGATGGCTTCCTTACTATGATTGCAGAAGATGTAGATGCCTGAACTTAGTTTTCCAGGCGGAGCGTGTGGAGATTTCAAGTGAACAGTGGTGACAAGAGACGAAGTTCTTTGATGTCATGGACAAATTAAAAATTAACAAGTCTGTCTGTCTGGCATCTAGAGTTAAAGAACTCAAATATGAAATTGCTGACTGTTTAGCAAAAATATGTAACGTGTCCCTAAGGTTGACCTCTGTACTAGAGGACTGGAAAGCAGCCAATAGAACACTGATTTTTTTTAAAGAAATCAAGGGAACTGCGGCCAGCTGGTATAACATCTGTTGTGATGGAATCGTTATTAAAGATATCATTTTATCAAGCATTCAGAACGGGAGTGGGAAACCTTTTTCAGCCAGAGTACCACATTCCCCCATGGGGGACCTTCTGGGGGGGCTGCTTGCCACTGTTGGGACAGAGGGGAAAGTGAGTGAAGCAGTAGGTTACTCTTAACTTCACATTCCAGCTATACACAAATCAGAGGTTTCTACACACATACACATACACCTACCTATCCAGGCAGGCATGAGACATTCAAGGGCATATTCCACCCAGGCAAAAGCATTTGAGGAAGGTGAGGGGGCAAGGCCTAGGGAGAATCTTGAGAGTCATATAGAAAGGTATATGAATTTCATGAAATAAACAAACCTGGAGGGGCACAGATTCCCAGTCGCGGCTCTAAATCTAAACTTTAAGTTACATCCCCAGTGTGCATTTTAAAAATTTCATTTCTGTTCCTTCTCTCTTACAAAGCACTCAATGTAGCATATATGGTTGTTTCCCCCCCCTCTCCATTTTATCTTCACAACAGTTCTGTGAGGTAGGATAGACTGAAAGAGAGTGACTGGCTCAAGGTCACCTGGTGAGCTTCATGGCTGAATGGGGTTTTGAACTCTGGACTCCCATATTCTAGTCCAGCACTCTCACCACTTCACGACACTGGCTCTGCATGGGTGTGACAGTGATTGTGCACTTGCTTACACTATGCATATGTGTGGCAGTGTTGTCATAGGTCTTGCAGTACGATGGATGTAGAAAATGAGAGTTGAAATGGGATTGTTGTCCTGTTGCTGTTTAAATTTTGAATGCAGCTTAGTAGGGAATCTAATACCACGTTCAGGAAATTGTTAGTGATGGAGTAACTGAACTTTGAACTGTTAAGCATAGGCAAATGCATTTTATGGTTGAGTAATGGATTAGGAAGGTTGTGTCTCAAGTATTAACCAAGTTTTCTTGTATTGCCACTCTTCTGGGTGGCATTTAAACAGAGGTTCTGCATTTTTCTGCATTTTCTCCTCCAAACCTGATAACAGCTGTCTTCATGGCAGTTCCAGAGATTGAGGATTGTATTGAATTCTCGCTTGGGTATATTTTAGTTTAACTTTGGCGTAGAGAAAAAAAATGGTCACTTGTTACTTAAAAAGCTAACTTGGCATAGGAGGAGGCAACTTGTTAAGTCTGTGAGTTCTTCCTGATATATTTTAAGATGCTGATCTATGTAGCTGTAAAGGAAAAGCATTAAATAAAATTGTGTATTCTAAGCACTTGGTAACCAGAATAACTTGTTCAGTCAGTTGCAAATTATCTGCTTTTAAGTCTTGCAAATACTGCTAGGAGAAGTCTCTTCTTAAAAGGTGCATATTAGTTATTAAATGTTTTTTAAAACTAGAAACAAAAAAGGATAAAAATGTGTATGAAATAGTACAAATTGTGGGCTTAGGTGATGCTGTTCAAGGGAGCACCGCTCCAAAAATGAATTGGAGAAATGTCATGTTGACAAATAGCATGATATCTAAGCAAAACTCATCTTTAAGGGTTATACCAGGTTCTTGACACATCACAGACAGGCAGCATGAATATATGTAAGCTCTCACAGTTGGAAAAGGGGGTGCTGATGGCAGGGAGTGCTCTTGATCTTCATAAATGGCTAAAATGACAGATTTTGATTTTACCGACTTCTCATGATAGTATTTAGGGTGTGCAGGTTTTAAGAATCTGTTGAATTTCAGCCTTTGGTATCATCAGAAGTTGACCTGTTTTTAAATAACATGCATTACCTGATACCTAGTCATCACTACAGCTCTATACCTGAACTTGAAAACTTAGTGGTCAGGTGGCACCTTAGTGCACTAGAACACGGGTAGGAAATTGGGTAGAGTACTTGAAGCATCTGCTTTTCAAGCTGTATGACTTGATTGAAGTAGGTAAGTCCTAGAAGGGCATCACTAATTTCTCTCTACTTCCGTTGCAATGAGGATGTATTAGAGAGAGTCAAAATAAGAGATGGACAGAACTCTAACATCCATAAAGTACACAAAAAAAAACAAAACTGGAAAAATGTGAGCTGTGATTAGTTGTTCTTAGGAATTGTAGGGTGTGTGTTTTTTTAATGTGCCATAACCATTGTTACCAAAGTTTGTCCTTGAAAAACACAATAGCAATTGCACCAGTTTAAATACACACAACTCATTTTAGATCTCCATCTTGCTGCTGAGCTTGGGAAGACACTCTTGGATCGAAACACAGAGTTGGAGACATCCCTGCAGCAGATGTATTCCACCAATCAAGAGCAACTGCAGGAGATAGAGGTAACAACTGCACATTGGGGGCAAGTGAGCATAATGTACAGCCCAAAGGCTATATGCCCATTATTCTGGCCTAGAGCAGTGACTGTACTTCAGACCAGAACGTCCTCTATTTGAATATTCAGTCATGAACTCACAGATGGCCCAGGCAAGCTATCTTTCACATGGCCCCATTGCCTACCTGCAATATTAGGTTACTCCTTATGGGGTCATGTTTAGAATTACTGCAAGATAATGGAAGTGAAATGTTTGAACACATGAAAGCCAAATATTTAATATTGCTAATCTTAGGCTCGATGTGTACAAGGCACTGAGGATTTTCCTTTTCCTTCCTTTTTTCTAGCTCTAGGGGAGAAATAACATATTGGTGTATGAATGTATTTTTAAAAACAGATAAATATAAAGGACACCAGCTAGCTGTAGTGTTCAGTGCCTATCAATTTGGTTTTTATGTTTAACTTTTGTATTACAAGCTGGCATGGGAATTGTAGAACTAATGGGTAGAATGCTCTTTTAAAATGTGGGGTTTGGGGGGGGTATTGGGTGGTTTTTATTTTGATTATGTATTTTGTGGTTTTATGTTGGTTAAAGGTGCTGGTTTTAACCTTTAAAGCCCTATACGGCCTAGGACCCTCGTACCTACGGGACCGCCTCTCCTGGTATGTCCCACAGAGAAATTTACGGTCTGCAAATAAAAACATCCTAAAGATCCCAGGCCACATAGAGGTTAGGCTGGCCTCAACTAGAGCCAGGGCCTTCTCGGCCGCGGCTCCAATCTGGTGGAACGCTCTGTCACAAGAGACTAGGGCCCTGCAGGACCTGACATCCTTCCGCAGGGCCTGCAAGACAGAGCTGTTCCACCAGGCCTTTGGTCAGGGCGCAGCCTGACCCCCTCCTCTGGCAATCGGCAATCTGCACAGAATTTTGCTGACGGTTGCCATTAATTTGATTTTAAGTTGATTTAATTAATTTTATAATGAATGTTTTTAGAATGTCAGACTATTTTGATTGTTGTTAGCCGCCCTGAGCCCAGCTTCGGTTGGGGAGGGCGGGATATAAATAAAATTTATTATTATTATTATTATTATGTTTTGATTTTATTCTGTGAACTGCCCTGAGACCTCCAGTTATAGGGCGGTATATAAATTCAAATAATAATAATAATAATAATAATAATAATAGTTAAAAAATTAAAAATAGAATATGAATGTACCAAATAAACACAGCAGTTTGCCTATTCCCCCAGTAAAAGGCTTTGCAATTGAGGGTGGTGTTTTCTGTTCAATTACATGGATTCAGCTTTTTGTATCTTCCAACCAAGGGTGCAAATCTGCTTCTGCTGAAGGAGTATGTGGCTCCTCTAGAGTATGGAAGTTTGCAGAATGAGAAGAGTACGGAATAAAGTTCCAATCTGGTGCCTTCTAGATGTTGCTGGACCACAACTATCGTCTCTGACCACTGGTCAGAGCTGATGGGAATTTAAGTCCAAAACATGTGGAAGGCAAAAGGTTGAGGAAAGCTGGTGTGGCGCATCTATGTGTACTTCATTTGAAGTTGTACATAAAGCATGTTTTAAATGATTTTGGTTGCGACCTTACCACTTTACCTGGGAATAACTCGTATTGATTTCAGTGGGGCTTTCTTCTAAGCAAAAATATACAAGATTGCATTGCTAGTTGCACTCTCAACTACAAGTGGGCTCTGATCAATTTGAAAGCTTCCTCTCCATGTTTCTGATAACATGACATTGTAGATGCCATTTTAGCTGGCAGTGCTTTATTATAACAAGATCTTCAGCTTGCTTTCAGAATAGCAGACAAAATTAATCTGGTTCATGTTTACACTGAGATTCAGGTTAATGCTAACCTTGGCTAAACCCTGTGTTGCTCACAGGCTGACTATAAATTGCAACAGGTAATATGTCTAATTGATTCTAATAGGGTAAAGGTTGCGGGTGGTACTAGATTAACTTGTAATCCTGCTTTAGACTTCTCAAAATGTAAGCCTATCAATCATTTTAATGAGGGAAATAAAAAGATTCCAGCACAGAAGATTTGATTATATAATCAATAGGCTACTCGGCTACTTAGAGTAGTGGCTTTAAACTTCAGGTTCTCCGAAAGATTCATGTATTAGCAATGTATACAAAATTCCAGCATTCAGTTATCATAATTCTTCCTGTGCAACTTCTTTGGCATATTGATTGACTTGAAATATGCTAAATGGAACTGTTCTCACCAGTTATCTCAAGTCATTTTACTGCATTTCTGTTTCTCATAGTTGGGAACATGCGATTGAATAGTGTTTGAGGCGGAAATTCAGAGTTTGCCTCTCTTGCAAAGCAGCTTAAAGTTAATGGTTTAGTATTCTTATGCCAGACACCTCTTAGCCAAGGCTTTCTGAAAGTAGTTTTCACAGCTTTAAAAATAAACAACCTGTTATATTTCTTGAATAAAGAGGCTTGCACTAAACATTTAATATAGATTTAAAACAGGAGCCCCTTGATGGGGATTGCAAGAGTAACTCAATTTATAATGGGGAAAGTAGGAACTCACTATCAGCTGACAAGATATGCTATGCAGTGTTGCCCTATTTACCCATTATGTCTTTTCAGCTTCTTGAAAGTGTCTGTAGTTTTAGAAATAAACCCTTGAGTCAAAATCTAAAGCTCTCCTTCAAGTGTGCCTAAGGGTTAAGCATGCCCAGTGGAGTGTTTCACTTTGAACAAGAGATTAATTAGTCTCAAACTTTATGCTCCCATCAATTTCCAAAGTGATTTGCCATGGTGGAGGGGGGGGGGTCATGTTTGAGACAGAAAGCCTGTTGGGCCATGTACTTAAACTATGTTGAATCCTAGGCCTAATTTTATCTTCCTTGTTACGTAACTTTACCATGACTTGTGTGCTTGGAGAGTAAAATGGGAGAGCTCTGTGTTTACTCCTGCAGAGACCTTTAGCAGTCTGAGGGATTACTCTGGCCTGAGTTGTTTGAAAAAGGTTAGTTGTATAGTGCCTCTCATTTGGGGTAAGAAGAAGATGTATGTACTTCAGTAGCGTCCTGCTAATCTTCTTAACTATCATTGCTTGAGATTGCAAGGAAAGCAGCAAAAATAATGTAATTTCAGCCGCTGGTTAAGGAACCCCTCTTTAATTACATTTGCAACATTAACTGTACATTATTTTGTAGTATCTTACAAAGCAGGTGGAACTTCTGCGTCAAATGAATGATCAACATGCCAAAGTTTACGAACAGCTTGATGTCACTGCCAGAGAACTGGAAGATGCTAATCAAAAGCTAGTTTTTGACAGTAGAGCCTCACAGCAAAAGATAATAAGGTAATATGCAAAAGATAATAAGGTAATATGCTTACCAAATATGGCACTTTGTTTCCCTTCCTTAACGTGCACCATATATATATTGCATATTTTACTCCAACAATGTCTGCATAATTCAATTGTTGCTTGACCCTCCTGGATTCTGCCTGGGCTGAGGTTGGGAGTAGGGACTGACCTTTCTCCCTGTGTCCCCCTATATCCCTCCCGCCACCACTTTCATTAAGCTAACAGCTGAACTGAAAGATTCCATCCTTGTTTGAATATAGCTTCTTTCTAATCTTGCAAAATGGAATCCGCTAGAAAAGCAGAGTCTTTATTTGGGTGAGGGAGACGTCTGTTAAAGTGACATGGAGCCTTTGGAGGTACTTGTTAGCTTTTCCTCCTCAGGATGGTGGTGGAAAAAGAATGAACCCTGATGCCTTCTCCCAATGATACTTTGGGGGTCAAGTAATAACCAAAAGATAGAGTTTCTGACTCCCAGAGTCAATATCCTGGAACACAAACATCTCTCAAAGAAATCTGCAGTTTAAACAATTGTAGATGTGTCAAACTTGATTTATGCTGACAAATTTGTGTACTTCTGTGTGTGAATTTTTTTCCCAGCCTTACTGAGACTATTGAAAGTCTTCAAGCACATATCGATGATCTCCAGAGACAAGTGGAAGAGTTGAAGAATTCTGGGCAAGGGTACGCGAATCGTGAACGGTGTGAGCATCCAAGATCTGTTCATAGTTTTGCATGTCTGAAGGAATTGTATGACCTTCGCAAGTAAGTTTCAAGTTCATTTTAAAAGCAGTCTTTTTCTGTGGAAAAGTTATTTAATGTTGTTCAGTTTTGGTAGAGAAGTAAAAAAAAAAAGTCAAGCATATTCTGATTAGGAAATGTGTCAAGTTTAGTGATGGCATATGATTAAACAAAGATTAAACAAATATTATTGAAGACCTGTCCTCATCAGCTCTTAAGTGAACCTGTCATATATAGCCATGTGTGTATATTTTTCTTACCTTTTAGACGCTCTGGATAACTTTGGGCTGATTTCTGCACTTTAGTTGAAAACGATGTTGTGAATTTTTGTAAAGGAAGTTCCTGGGAAATCTAGGTCTCTTTCATTAGCCCTTCAAAGGTCTCTAAATCAGCCTATTTCCTGTTCTCTTCAGGCCAACTAGTGACAGACCTTTTTCTTTAAGGTCAACCATTAAGGTGTTTGCCTTATGTCAGAACTGGTATTGTATCCTTATGAACAGTATGGCTTTCAGAAGGTTGGTAGAGAGTCATAGGGATGGAGACTTGATGGTGACTGTTACAAGTTTTGATATAGAAGTGCGTTCTCTGAATTTCAGGACAGTAGAAACCATAAAATTGTCCAACCCAGACCCTCTTTCTGAATAAAATTATCTAAGTTGTTGATTTAACTCTACAATGCTTACCTAGGTATTTCTAGCCTTTTACAAAGGCAAGGTACAATCTCTAGTTTTTGTAGAGACCTAATACAGGCAGCTCTTTCACTATAGGGTTCATGTCTAGAAACTGGCACACACTGCTGTGCTTTATTCATCCATAATAAAGTTACAAAAAAAGCGAGTTATTGGGAAGAGTGAACTAATGCTTTTCATTGGCTCTTGTTGCTTGTGTCTAGGTATTTTGTTTATGACCATGTTTTTGCGGAAAAAATTACTTCTGTGGATAGCCAACTGAGTCCTCTGGAGGAAGAAAACCAGAGGTTAAAAAAGGCAATGACTCTTTTGCAAGCACAGCTCAGCATGGAAAAAGAGAAGAGAATGACGATGGAGGAAGAGTACAATCTCATGCTGAAGGAGAACTGTGATCTTGAGCAGAGGTTGGTGGATGTCGATCTGTACCGAGCCAGAGCTGAAGAGCTTGAGTTTGAAGTGGCTGAAATGAAGCAGATATTTCAGTCTGAAAGCACCTTTGCTAACGGGGTGGAAAAGCTTGTTCCAGAGTCTTTTTTTATTTCCTTCAAAGATTCTTTAGAGAGAGATCTGAGTCAGAGCCCTTCAGATTGGAGCTCTTCTGATGGGGTTCTTTTAACTGTCCCAGAACCCGACAGAAGGGCACTCAAAAGAAGCACCAGCGAGACCTTCCTTGGCAGTGTTGCAGGTGGGGATCTTCTAATAAAGGGCCATGAAGAAACCTGTATCCGGCGGGCAGAAGCCGTAAAACAAAGGGGCATCTCTCTGCTTAACGAGGTTGATGCACAGTATAACGCTTTGAAGGTCAAGTATGAAGAACTCCTGAAGAAGTGTCAACTAGACGAAGAGTCATTGAAACACAAAGCTGTACAAACTTCTAAACAGTATTCCAAAGATGTCAGAGTGGGGAATAAATCCTTGGACATGTGTGTTGGAGAAGCTGAACCCCCAAATGCTGACCCAGCCCCAGCCAGCTTGCCTTCAAACCCTCCACCCGAATACAAGCTTCTCTTTAAGGAAATCTTTAGTTGTATCAAGAAAACCAAACAGGAAATTGATGAACACCGAGCAAAGTATAAATCCTTTCCTTCTCAGCCTTAACAAACTTTCTGTACATCACTACTACCTTAGAAAACCGTTGTTCTTGAGAAGTAGCTGTCTGAATGTTTCATTTGAGACATTGCTGCATGTCTGTTCTGCTAGAGTATATGTAGGTTGACTTTTTGAACTTGTAGGATGGGTTGGGTCCACTTGATTTGGGGTGTGTGTGTGTTTGACACAGTTGTTGCCACTGATTTGCTCAGGGCATTGCAGATTATGCTAAATTGGCAGATGAAATGGTTACGTGACTCTGCTAACTGCACCTAATGCCTGGTAATAAAAGTTGTATTTTGGAGAATTGGAAACCACCCAGTGGCTGCATGTTAAATAGTTGTCACTTACGGAGGTCTAGTTTTTGGATTCTTTCTGCGGTCCCGAGTTGGAAAGTAGAAATTCTTCTGTAGTGTTGTGTTTCTCTTCAACAATGGCAATTCGGCTATTAAACATGGTATGAAATTAAATTGCAAGTCTGGTACATTTTTAAAAGGCAACCTCCTTGCATTTAATATTTGACTCCAAATATGTTTTTGTTTTTGTCAGACCTGTGATTTAAAGTAATAAATTTAACAAGAAATGTCCATGCAGAGATCAAGCACTGGTTTAATTTGCTTGAGTAGATGGACATTGGTTCTTCTGGAAATAAAGTACAGTTGCTGTCTTGAGAAGAAATTGTTGCTATAGGAATGATTGGAACAGAGAAGTGGCCATTGCAGAGTGTGCTACATTTGGGTAACAAGCGTTCTGTATGTATCCGTTCTATGTGTATGCTACTTCAAATTGCTCCTGGAAGCAAGCAATCTTTCAGTGACTAGCTGGGAGTTTTGGAAGCTTTCATCCCCTGAAAAGATGAGCAAAGATTGCTTCCACTGTTATGTGAAATATGGGCAGTCTTTTTCACTGAACATCTCAAATAGGTCCGGCTATTCCAGGCTTCCTCAACCTCGGCCCTCCAGATGTTTTTGGCCTACAACGCCCATTATCCCTAGCTAGCGTGGTCAGGGATGATGGGAATTGTAGTCTCAAAACATCTGGAGGGCCGAGGTTGAGGAAGCCTGGGCTATTCTATTGGCAGGATTTCTCACTGCATAAACATTAAGTACTTTGAACTAAACAAGGCTTGAGCTGAATGCTTACTTTATATGAGGTACAGTGATTATAATGTCACATCAAAGGAAAAATGCCAGAGAATTCTTCAGGCAGGACCTTGATTTCACATGAATTGGCAGCTTAAGCTTCTCTTCCTGGATCTTTCACCCCTATTACATATCTAGTTTAAGACTAAATTGGTAAGATTTTGAACATTAATGCTTTGAGTATCAGATGGGCCCCATCATAGCTGCCTAAACCAGTGGCCATGCCTCTTATGCATGGAGTTGTCATTGGAGTAGCAAACGTTCTGTATGTAAAAGGGACTACGGTGTGATGGGGGGTATTTTTGAGGTTTATTTAATGTATAGAGTGTTGTCTTATGGCAGAAGGTTATGGGTTCAACACACTGTTCTGCTGCTAATAATGGCATTTGTTGCCAAGACCACGTGCATGTAATTGTTCACTTAAGAATATTGTATTTAACATGGAGGATGGCTTCATGTAGCCTAGAAAACCTTGAACAAGCTGTAAAAGGAATGGGTAGGTGTTGCTATGCATATTTTCTAGGCTGTACAAAACTATTCCCAAAAGAATCTTCTGCGATTGAAAGTTGAACTTGAAAGCAAATCTTATTGCAGTGCTTTTATATTACTGAGCACATAGCTCTAAGAACAGACCTCTGTTCCCTAAAGTTGCTCTCAAATACACAAAGATGATAAGTAACAGAGCTGAGGATTTAGAAGGGTTTACCAGTACTGCATAAGATGACATGTTTTTTCAAGAGTAAAAGGTACTGTACCTGTCAACAGTAGTGTTGTGATTACATTACTAGTTAAACTGAACATGTGCGGCTTAAGGGATATCACAGCTTTAACTTGGTTGCTGCTATTGCAAACATCTCTGCCTTATGTACAGTGTAAAATGGGAATGGCTTCTTGTTCTTGAATTACATGTTTTTCCTGGATATGGACACACTCCACCAAACTGTATTTAAGCTTATTTAAAGATTTGTAAGCTATTCTGAATATTGGTTGTTTTTTTTTAATCCCATCACAAATAAATCCCTTCAACAAATAAGCTTCTGAGGTTTGTGTGTGCATGTCTGTGTTTAAGTGAGATTTGCCAGTTGATTACTAACTAGGTGCTTGGAAGCATGTAGAAAAACCACTTAATGCTTTTTTCAGTACCTTTAGAACTATGGGGGTGGGAAAGGGGAAGGATATTCTGGGCAGCCTCAGTCTATCACTGGTATACTTGGTATTGCTGCTGTATTAGGCACATGTCTGTTTAAAAGAATAAAGTCTCTCCACCTGCATTGACTTCAGAACACTGCAGTCCAGCTCATGTGCCTAAATGTTTTTTTGGAGGTTGATGAGCTGTGTTATCATTGATCATTAAAATCACAACTACAGAGTGCACCTGTTGTATGAAAGATGACTAGCAACGACCCTATACATTTAAAATGAAATACATAGCTGCTAACAAGCCCACTTGTCCTGGAATAAATCTCAACAGATTTCCCAACTAGCAGCAGAGAAAACCCTCACATTTAACTACAGTTGCAGTTTATTACAGCATTGCATTCTATGATTCATAGGAAAAACCCACCTTCAGGGCAAAGGTAGAAAGTGGTGGTGCTCAAGCTAATGCTATTGTCAACCTCCAAGGTAAAAATTTATCTGAAGCAATGGAGGCTCTGTATTGGCACCAAGTATGCTGATTCAAACTGCACATAGCTGAGGCACCATTTGCTTTGTTGTTGTTTAGTCGTGTCCGACTCTTCGTGACCCCATGGACTAGAGCACGCCAGGCACTCCTATGCAAAAAACACACACACCCCAACCATAATGTATCTCCCTATTTCCAGAAACAATTGGCAGCTTCATACTTGAGACAGTATTTAATACAACAACTCTTCCCTAGAACCAGAGGTAGGGTTGTTCCTTGCTTTCCAAAAAAGGAAGGGATGGGGGTGAACTAGAAGAACATTTGGGATTTTAAAAAATAATTTCCCACTAAGTGTAAACTTGCAATTTATTGGCATTAGTTACAAAATAAAACATTAGATCATGATCTGTAACATCTGGGTCAGTAGGTGGGTTTTTTTCCTTTTTTGTGATGAGAAGTTAATATATTAGGAATCCCAAATTAACCTAACAACTCGCAAAGATCCATTTTTTCTCTTTGTGTTGAACGGTGGCATTTTGGATGCCATGCAGACATGTAAATGAGCAGCTCCGTGTCTATAACTTCATCCATCCATAGGGCTGTGAGAACAGGCTCTGCCCCTCATCATTTTGCTTTCCTGCCTGTTCCACCTTTTCCGCTTCAGTCCTGGAGTTCATTCCATGCGATTAAAGCAAAACCCCTTTCGTCAAGATGTTGGTTGCTGTACTGTCCCTTTAAGATACCACATGCCACCCTGGCTTACACAGCAGTCCTGGAAGAAAGGGGAAAGCTGTTGAGAAGTATTGTTATAATCTTCTAAAGTAGACTTGCAACAGAAGATTTCTGCCCCCAATTGCATGCCACCAGAATTAAGGTCAGTGAGGTGGAGGGGTGAGGGAAGAGTGAACAGGCAGCCATTGTCCTCTCTATGTTGAGAATACCAAGAATGTGGGGGAAGGAATACAGTATTTCTTACCATTCTCATTACAAACTCTACACTGCATAGCATTTTTTTTTAATAAAGTGTGTCAACTTATTTATAAAGCTATACCATTTGCACACTTCACAAGGATGCAGAAATGCAAAACAGGTAAAGAGGCAGCAACTGCCGGATGTTGGGAGCCAACAAAAACTGTGGTCACCTGAGCCCTGTCCCTGTCCTGCACAACATCAGGGGGTCTTCTGAGCACCTTCAATCTGCCTGCTGCTTTTCCAGCTCTAAAACTCAAGTGGAGGGCTAGTCTGTGGGTTTGATACCTGCTTTCCCCCAACTCTACATCCTTAAATGGAGGTTGTCCTTTCTGTGCTTGACACAGTCACCCAAAGGAAATCAGCCCCCCACCCACTGCAAGTGGATCTGTGGACCCCAGAATGTTAGGAATGGCGGGGTTTAACTGGATTGTCAATGCTCATTCAATGAACTCAGGATTCTCAACATGTGCCTCCAACACGTACTTTTGAGAAACTAAAAGGAAAGGAGCCATCATTCTCAACAGCCCCAAGCAGTTAAAAAAAGGTATGGTGTGTTTGTGTAATTCACTGCCACCCTTGCTATTTGCCAAGCTCCTCTAAACTGCACAACTCCAAGGACTCTCCCTCATCGCTCCCCATGAGGTGAACAGGGCGGCAGCTTCAAGGGAGGCAGCAACCCTGGGGAGCCACAGAGAAGAGCTGTTGGCTGGAAAAAGCAACTGCTTTGGTGCCTGCAGCCAACTTCTGTTGATACAATCTAGGCAACTAGAAGGATCCTCCGAGAACTGCAACCTGCCCGGGTAACACTTCCAATGGGAATCATTTGGCACCCCTTTCCCACCTCCTACAGAAACAATCACAACACAGCATTGCAACTCGTTACCTGGCTGGAAGCGCCATTAGAGACCAGAAAGCATGAATCCGCTAATTGGTGCAATTAACTAATTAGCCGTCTGAATGCAGATTAAAAGAGTGAGAGAGCGCATGCACTCCCAGAGATCACATCCAGCCATCTGGCCTGTCTCCTTTTCAGCTTCCCCACCAACCCATGCTATATACAGCTCCCAAATCTACAGAACAAAACCGGTCAGATTAAGACACTAGATTGGGATCTGAAACAAAACGTTGCAGTGCATAGCACACCCTAGTTAAGGAATCCCCCCCAGCTAGCTGTACCCTTTTTTGGGAATATGCCATTCCACCTCACCCCCAGCGTAGCGCGGCCATTCACTGAGCATGCCCTTTCAGTTGCTGCAATGGGGGGGGGGGTCCTTATTTGTGCGAGCCTTAGGGGTTTCCCCCAAAGCCTGCTCATATATCCATGGAATATCCCATTCTGGTTATATGAGGACTGATATTGGAAGTGAGGGGAATATGGCTAGGCAACTTTGGACCTGAGGGCCAAATGTGGCCCTCCAGGTCTCTCTATCTGACCCTCTGGTCTCTCCCTGTTCGCGCCTTGAACTCCAATGCCTCTTGCTTGCCTGGAAAGAAGGTATAAAGGACAGTGAAGGGAATTTACATTTGTTGCTCCACCCACTTTTGCCCTTGGCGCTGCCCACCATCGGTATGTGGCCCCCAGGAGGTTGCAGAGCAGTGTAGGCGGTCCTTGGGTTGAAAATGGTCCCTGAACTCCCAAGAATATTCTACAGGTGTGAGGGCATCAATGGGACCCCACCTCCCAGGGTTATTAAAAGCCTACGTAGGGATGGGAGCAGCAAGATTTCCCAGGATTCGTGAAACCAAGAACCATACAATAAGAATCTGCAATATTGGAAGTTTCCGAGCACAATTCAGTGTTGGTGTTGACCTTTAAAGCCCTAAACGCC